AACCACTACCACAACAACAGCCACTACCACAACAGCCACTACCACAACAACAGCCACTACCACAACAACCACTACCACAACAACCACTACCACAACAGCCACTACCACAACAACAGCCACTACAACAACAGCCACTACCACAACAACAGCCACTACCACAACAACCACTACCACAACAACCACTACCACAACAGCCACTACCACAACAACAGCCACTACAACAACAGCCACTACCACAACAACAGCCACTACCACAACAACTGCTGAAGCAACAACGGCATCAATGCCTGATTGAAAGAAAAGCACAGAGGAGGAGATAAATGGAAGTGTAGTACATTGTACAATATTTCACCACAAAGCACACCAACAGCAGCAGATCAAAAACAACATGGGTGGTTAGCGGGTGCTCAAGGTGCTCAAATGTGATTTTCTCCTTCTTTTCTGTCAAACGCCCACCTTCCTTATAACTCCTCTTTCTTTTCTTTGTATTTTACCCTCTAGCGGTATCACCTTTAATCTCACTTTTATGACCTGACTAAATTTTTACTATAACTAATTAGACAACAAGAACACTATTTTATTTACTATTTAATCAGAGACAATAGCCAAAGAAACGACAAGCGTTGCGCCAAATGTTGTGGGTGTTGGAATCCAAAATAGGGATGGGGATAACTTTTATAGAGATTTACGAGCTGAAAGACATGTCCGAATTGTGACAATTTATTATATACCTGATCATGTGTTCGTCTGGTATTTACTCTATTAACAAAAGGAAAAGAGTTTTGAACATAATTCCTTTTTGTTTTCAGTTAACTCCTTGGATTAACACGCTGCAGTTTCTTCGAAAGTTCATCCCGAGAATGCGTTGATTTATGAGAACTGTCTGTCAGCTGTCACGATTTATGCGTGTTGTGCTTCTGCGCCGAAAGATACCATTAAGGTAAGTTGAATTAAGTTGAGTCAGTTATAAGACAACATCCCTTTAGTCAAAACCTAGTGGTTTGGGAAATGGATGTTAACACTACACAATATTCTGTTCCTCTGTGTATTACAGCACACATTTTGCTCTGGTGAACTAAGGTGGAAGGGGACTCTTGATTTTTTTTCTCCTATTTTGTTAACCTGCAGTTCTTCCTAATCTAGATGGGCCACGCGTTTTGCTCTGTTGGTATCTTATGTGGCTATAATAATCGAAAGGAAGGCTCTTGAACTTTGGTTGTGTGGGGAGTTTTCAGGGCGATTTTTAGATGCATCGACTATTTAGCCTGGGGATGAAAGCTGGAACTCACCGAGAAGAGAACTATAACTAACTTATGTCTCCACCCTCTTTTAAATGTTCCTTAAGGTTGAACAATCTTTAGGAAATCACGATAAGGTTTACACAAATGTCTGTCCGTCCTAACAGCCATAAATAGAAAACCGATGCAAAGGAACCATTGTGGGCGCTGCACTTTCCTGACCAAAATGTGTCGATTGTGATGGAAAACAAATACTCTGATTGACTTTCAGTTTTAGTCCTTGTCGTGTTGAACTTGAACAATGATTACCCCCC